AAGACACAAGGGAACAAGAAACTCATGAACCCACAGGACATAGTAGAGGAATTCGAGCAATACTATAGCTCATTATACAATCTCAAAGATGATCCCACAACAACCACACCAACCAAAGCACAAGTTCGAGAATACTTAGATACAGTAACACTACCTACATTAACCCAGACAGAAATTGATACAATTACTAAACCAATCACAGAGGAAGAACTGAGAAACACAATATTGAAATTACCCCCTCACAAGTCCCCAGGCCCTGATGGTTTCACCAATTTGTACTACCAAACTTTCTCAGAAACCCTCACCCCGCACCTCTCCAAGCTCTTAAACCACTACTACACCATAGGCGAAATGCCCCCTGAAATGCTACAGGCACACATATCAACACTCCCGAAGCCAGGCAAACCAGCGACGATCTGCCAGAATTTCCGTCCCATATCTCTACTCAATTGCGATACAAAAATTTACGCAAAAATTTTAGCTAATCGCCTTACAAACATACTAAATCGCATAGTTCATAACGATCAATCAGGCTTCACCAAAAACAGACAAGGGTCAGACAATACGAGGAAAATTCTCAATATCCTAGCACACATGGAAACACGCAAAGCAGAGGTCCTCCTGCTGGCATTAGACGCCGAAAAGGCCTTTGATAGACTCAATTGGGAATACATGGAACAAGTACTTCTAAAATTTGGCTTCCCAAGCTCGTTTACTACAGGCATAATGGCACTATACTCCAAGCCATCCGCTAAAGTCACGAACACAGGCTTTATCTCGAACCCCTTCCACATCACCAATGGCACTCGCCAAGGATGTCCACTCTCACCTCTATTATTTATACTCTCCCTTGAACCTTTGGCCTACAAGATCAGAACCCACATAGACATAGAAGGAATCCCCGTAAAACAAGCAAACTACAAATTGTCCATGTTCGCAGACGATATCCTTATTTCCCTTACGAGACCAGAACATTCCCTACCGCACATTCTGAGCACATTGGAAGAATACGGCAAAATTTCCTATTATAAATTGAATCAGGCCAAAACCCAAGCACTTCCCATACGTCTTCCTATCACAACCATACAAGCGCTAAAAAAGCTATACTTGTTTGACTGGAGACAGACCCATGTAACATACCTAGGGGTGAAAATAGCTGCCACATATAGAGGAATTAACACACTAAATTACTCCACAATGCCACACATGTGTAAACAGATCCTGCACAAGTGGAAAGATGTCATGCTATCATGGCTAGGCAGGATTAATGCCATAAAAATGATTGTACTCCCGAAACTGCTCTATGTATTTAGGATGCTTCCAATACCTCTCTCCCCTACATTGAGCAAACAAATCCAAACGATAATGACAAACTATATATGGGAGAACAAAAAACCCAGAATACCATCGATTCTTCTACAAACACCCACTAAGGAAGGCGGACTAGGTTTCCCTAACATAGCAACTTACCACAAAGCAGCGATTCTCGAAAACGCGATAAAATTACACGCACCACCCCACACACTACAATGGGTGGATCTCGAAAACAACTATGACCCCGCGGGGTCAGCGGTAAATTATATGTGGACGCCTAAACAAATTCGAGACAAACGCAAAGACATGTTACCACTTACCAAATACCTGATACAGACCTGGGACCACTTACACCGTACACGGACAACGGAGAACAAATTTTCACCCTGGGCTCCCATCACAGCTCTCACCACTGTGTCACCCTGGCTGTCCCTAGATAAATGGAGAGAACTTGGAATAACCCGCATTATGGACATATGCCAACAAGGAGCTATACTACCCTTCCCGGAAATTCAAAAAACGCATAACCTACCAGCATCCTATATCTTCCCATATCTCCAACTTAAAAGCTTACTCGCTAGTAAAGTAGCACCCCCAACATCGCAAGTAAGCCCCACAGACCACGACCTACTAGTACTGTACCATAGGTGCCACAACTCACCGATTAAACCGAAGATGCTCTCATTGAGCTACACAGCTTTAAGAAATCAAATTCCGCCTCCAGAGTTCAAATACAGATTGCACTGGGAACAAGAATGCGCACTGTCATTCACAGACAAGCAATGGACAGCGTCGCTCCAAGCCCTAAAAGGTATCACCGCTTGTTATTCACATGTCGAAGCACATAAAAAACTAATCTACAGGTGGTACTATACTCCTGACAAACTCCACAGGATCTACCCCCACACCTCGGCCAAGTGCTGGAGATGTGGGATGGAACGAGGCACAATGACCCACATCTGGTGGAACTGTCCGAGCATTACGCCCCTATGGAAGGAAGTCCATCAGACATGGCAAGAACTGGGGATCAAACAACTATCACTCACACCCCTGCTGACTCTCTTCCTCCAATATCCCAACTCAATACCCTACAAGGACAAACACCTGACAATGATGATGATCCTAGCAACCCGCAATCTCATAGCGTGTCACTGGAAACAAACAGAATGTCCTACCACCACAATGTTACACCACAAAATTAAACAATACCTCCGATATGATCTGCTCACAGCCCACACTCACAAACAGACCTCCACCACACTCCTTAATTGGCGAAGATGGACAGAATGGGTAACTCTTAAAGGGAACGCAGACGAGGCCATAACTACTACTGCTAATAGAGATTAACTACTACTGCTACTAGAGATCGACACAATAGTTTGAAGCCAACGACCATAAGTTGTTGTCACCCTAATCGCTCGAGGCCCGTAAATAGACTTACGCCACGATGAGAGGGCACAAAATAGGACATATTGTACCACTCACAACAAAACAAATACTCAGAATAACAACACAGCATAAATTAGCGTAAAAATACTCAAGCGACAACAAGCTACGGTACTATATAACACACAAAAATGTAATCAACTGCACCCTTGTATCTCTGTACCTATGTAATATGATACATATATGTGTCTATATACATGTGTACTTAAGAAGATCTAACAAGCAACCTGAAAGAAATTTGTATTTGATTAACCTCCACCTCCCCCTCCCCTCTTCTTTTCTGTACCCCACCCTACCCCAGACTTTGTTCAATAAAATAAAATACGAATTGAAAAAAAAAAAAAAACATTGTTGTCAGATGATTCAGATGGATAAATTTGACACCTTGCAAGAGAACAATCTCCATTACATTTATATATAAGTTTTGCTAATTTGTATGGAGGTTGCCTATTACCATCTGAAAAAACCTTTAATTTACATGATTGGCGTCATCTAATACCACTAATTAAGAGGAGGTTGTTTACATATTTAGAGGTCACCTTAAGGATATCATTTCCCCTCTAAATCAGCACCTTAATTTCAAGGTTCGGGACGGCATTCTACCATTAGACAGTTACTGGTTCTTTATTGTCTCCTGTCTCCATCAGGTACGAACACATTTTCGTTCTCATTCAATCAACTCCCTCAACAAGGCCACGCATTAACAATGGGGTATTGGAGTACGGGGGCTTGATTCCCGCCTTGCCTCGACAGGCCACGGCGCCACTCGATTACACATCATACGTTTATTCAAACTCACTATCTGTAAACAATCATCCCGTTTCTAACAAACCTTGCTCATTTCGCCTTCCACTTTCCGCCAGGTACTACCATGCTCTCACGGCACAACGCTTTTTTTAATCTCCCTTCAGGGATATATAGTAGCCACCAAGGGTATCTTCTAGGTTCAGAGAACTGGCTGTCTAGGGTTAGGAGCTGGCCTTAGTTGTACAACGTAGCTGGTCCCGCGAGGCCAACTCCCCAATCTCAACACAGAGATTTTTGACCCTCGGCCCAAATCATAGTTAGAGCCTCGCATTCGCCCACCTATCGAGTTTATAGTTAGGACACCACCTGTCACGGCCACACGTTTTTGGACCTTTTACTGTCACGAGAGCCCGCCACCACGCTTGGCAACTAGCAGGGCCTCACTTGTCACTGGGTAGAGAGATTTTCGCTTCGGCAATAGATAGCCAGCCAGTTCTACATTTCTCAACCGTATTGTTATTTCATACTCGTTGTGGTATTTTTTTTTTCAATATGTCCCAAGAAGGCAACATCAGAAAAGAATCATCCCTCCCTAGCATAACCACGTAGTTGGACACTGAGAATTCTGTGCTGGGGACCAGCTCACAATGAGAAATCTCAGGCATTATAGGAAATCTAAACTCCATTCTGACTACACTTCAGTCCTTCAATAATAGACTGTTTAACTTAGAAAGCACCAGTCCGGCTCAGATAGGCCCTCCTCCCGTAGGTTCCACACACACACACTTACTCCCACCAACGCGCAGGGTTGGCCCCCGCATCACCTTTCACACCCCCTCACTTTCTGAGTACTAACCCACTAATTTGTGTTGATTTCAACACAGGCATATGTAGCGCTACCAACTGCGAATTGCTTCACATATGCGCCATATGCCTCGGGGCTCATGTCAAAACCATCTACCCGTATATGTTATATCAAGGTCATGAGTACAGAGAGAAATAAGCTTGACGTTATACATGAGTCACATTCGCCCCCGCACTTGGTGATTTAATCATTACACATAGGTTCCACATTTGGTTGGGGTCACTCCCAGTAGGCACCCTAGATGTTCCATTCTCCTCGGCTGGTCACGTATCATATACTGTAAACTACCAGCAATACTCTAATAAACAACATCACATCATTGATCTGCCTGCTCCTCTTTCAGTCGCAACCAGTGCCTTAACTCCCTCATATCATCCACCTAATCCTCTCGCAGTCTTGATGTCATGAGTTCATCCCAATTACAGAACCATATAGTCAAGTCTCCCGAGGATAAGATCGTGTGCGCTCGCGTAGACGAACAAGTCCCTTCAGCGGGAAACTTGTAATTGGGGAAAACCCGCATCATTGCTGGGTTCTTGAACGTCACTATGCGCACTATCCCGCTGGGCAGTTCATTAATTTACTGGTACGTACGTTATCAGGTCTGCCTGATGGAGATAGTGTTATTAGATCCTCTGGCAAGGCAGACCTGGTCGGGGGGGGGAGCCATTAAAGCTCGGAATTGGGTTCATCCCGCTTGGGTCCAACCAACTCCCAGTTTTTGTACAGATGAAGCCACTATCCTGGGTTGCAGCAGTTACAAACTATTAGGGATTGCTGTCCAAGAGACACTGGGTCTCGTACCTCATCCAACTGACAAACACCCGACCATAATACATATTTCAACATCCTCATCCGGTCGCCCGGCTATTGGGACACAACAACAAGTTATCACCTATGGCGTTATTCGCTTTCACGAAGAATACATACGACAGAGACATGACATACTTTCAGGACTCTCAGTAGAAAACAACATCCACAAGCATATCGTTCACACACACACACTAACACAAACACACTAACACACACACAAACACACTAACACAAACACACAGACTAACACAAACACACTAACACAGACACACACACACTAACACAGACACACACAAACAATAACACAAACACACTAACACAAACACACTAACACACACATAAACACACTAACACACACATTTCTTTTTAAATTGAATCCTCCCAGCCTCCTTACCTTTTGGAGAGCTGAGGGGATTCCCTGGGGTCCAGTGGTGCTGCTGGCCCTGCTGACACCCGGCGGACGGGTGGGCTGTCTGGGTGGCCGGCGCGCAAGGGAGCACTCTCTCCTGAGTGCTTCCTCTTCAGCTCCCTTGCGCGACATCATCTTCCGGCTCCGGCATCAGTGCGGTGCGCGAGGGAGCTGAAGAGGAAGCACTCAGGGGAGAGTGCTCCCTCGCGCGCCGGCCACCCAGACAGCCCACCCGCCCGCCGGGTGTCAGCAGGGCCAGCAGCACCACTGGACCCCAGGGAATCCCCTCAGCTCTCCAAAAGGTAAGGAGGCTGGGGGGACTCAATTTAAAAAGAAATGTGTGTGTTAGTGTGTTTGTGTGCTGGCTCCTGGGCCCCCCGGTTCCGGCACACCACACCGACTTAACTCCAATCACAAGGTATTTCACAGTAACGATATTAACCGAATACAAGGACATATATACATACATAAATTCTTATTTCATCTGCTGCCTGTTCTCAGTATTCTCTTGCGCCCCGTTTTTTTGCTCTCCATAAAGTGAGCCACAAGGAAAACTGTGTAAAAGTGCACTGTGCAATAAAACACAAAAAAAGTGCATTCAAATAGTGTTTAAAACAATATTACCTTTAGTCCGTGCCAATATTATGACTTACATGAGAACACTCTATACATACTATTGTCTGCAAGGAGTAATCACAGTGCACAGTGCAATTTTACACTTTTACATAGTAGGCACTCTGTAATATATTAGGTGTTTTAAAGATACAGCGCACTTTATTTGTATGTTTTTTTATTTTACAATTATATTTACTGAATACCCCTGCGTGTTTCTATGAATGTGAGGATATATTTGTGCTGTGTGCCAATGTGTGAATGCAATGATGTATTTGCGTGGCATATCTATGTGGGAATGCAGAGGTGCATTTCTGTAAAGAGACCATTCCCCCATTTGTGTCCCTCCTTTTCCCCCATTTGTATCCCACTACCCATACCCTCCTTTTCCCCAATTTATGTCACTCTGCCAATATTACCGTTTCCCACACTTCTACCAATCCACATATCTACCATTCTCATGATACCCTCAATGTCTATATCCCATTTTCCCACACTTCCATACATTTCAAATGGAAAAAGAGGGACACTTTCATTTTAGAGGTGTTAGTGTTAATGGCAAGGCTATTATGAGAAATGTTTGGTTACTTAATAATACAAATTTAAGCCACTGAAATAGCCTGCCCTGAGCTAAAACCAGCTTGAGTTCTGAGCGGGGACCCACCGAAGGGCAGGCTATTTTAGTTGCTGTTCGTTCTCAGAATACTCTT